ACTGGCAGCACCATGATAGATGGAGAAGAGATTGAGATTGCTAACAAGCTTGCTCAGGTCCACAATCAACACTCTTGGCCCCAGCAGTCATAAGATCAAAAGACAAATTGCATTAGAAAAATGTGCTTTCAGGGATCTCTCCAATGTTCTGAAGAACAATGATGTCAGTCTGGTAACCAAAGTGCCCCTGATCCAGGCCATAGTCTTCATAATTACTTACTATGCATCAGAGAGCTAGACAATGACCAAAGATGACAGAATTGATGCCTCTGAGTTGTGGTGCTGGAGAAGAGTAATGAACATACCATGGACTACCAAGAGAACAAACAGGTCTGTCTTGGAAAGGGTAAACAAAGAAGCTCCTTGTAGGAAAGATTTTGAGGCCCCATCTCACATAGTGTATACATGTGGCCAAGAGGCCTTGAAGAAAGACATCATTCTTGGTAGGGTGAAGGGACAGTTCAGGAGAGGAAGACCTTGGATGAGATAGATGGACAGACTAGAGTAATGAGGGTAGATGGGTCACAGAGAGTGAACTTGGCTCAGGATAGAGCAGGATTCAGAGCTACTATTCATAGGGTCACTATGAGTCAGAGTCTACTCAATGGTACATAATTACAACAACAACAACAGCAACATGCCTAAAGCATGTGAAACAAAGCTGTATAACCTTTGCCTCCTAGGAGCACTCTGGCTGCACCTTCTCCAAGACATATCTGTTTGTTCTTCTGGCAGTCCATAGGGTATTAGGCACTCTTCTCCAACACCACAGCTCAAAGACATAAATTCTTCTGTCATCCTTATTCATGGTTCAGTCTCAAATGCTTACCAAGTGATTGAAAAGATCATGACCTGAATCAGACACATCTTAGTCCTCAAAGTGGCATCACTGCTCCTCAATAATTTAGAAGAGTCCCTGCCTGCAGATTTTCCCAGTGCAATTCATCATATGATCCCCTGACTGCTGATACCAAAGGATTGATTTGTGGGTGGATCCAAGAAGATGAAGTTGTTGATAGTTTCAGTCTTCTCTCCATCTCTCATGATGTTGCCTATCTGCCTAGTGGTGAGAATATTGTTCTTGAAAAATTCAAGCCCTAGCCAGAGTGGAAAAAAAAAACAACTCAAGTTCTGGATAAATTAGGGGAAAATGTGGAACAAAGCTAAAATTTTTTTAAAAATAATTTACTGGCCAAATACAGGCTGATGGAACCTTCAAGACTATGGCCCTTAGTAACCCCTCAGGTCTGCTACTGAACTCACCAGCAGGGTTCAAAATTTAGTCAAATAATAGATGAGTCTGTAAAGTAAATAACACCAAGAAAATGCACAGTCCTTAGAATAACTAACCAATCAACCATTTGAGATTAAAAAAGACAACGTTTTCTCAAAAGTACAAAAGGGGAATAGGTTTAGGAAAGAAGGAGGAATGAAAAGGAGAAATACAGAGATGAAGTGAAGTGAGTGACACTACATTGTGGGTGCTGCAATCATGAAACACAGTATGCATTAAATGAGCTAAAAATCTATTTTCTCTGTAAACATTCAAAATGTTTACAAACATTCAAAATGATTTTTTAATAGAAAACTGATCTGCCATATGAATATTCACAGCAAAAATTTTCAAAAATAAAAATTATAATAGTAATAACAGAATTTTAGCACAATGCCTAACATATAATATCTGTTAGTTATTATTAATAATAAAGAGCAGTAAACCTGAATTTCTGTTTACATAAAATTGAAACAAGATCCATACCCCACACCATATACAAATACAACTCAAGATGGATCGAGGACATAGCCATAAAACTATAAAGATCATTAAAAAATTGGGACACATTTAAGAGCTCTAGTCTATGGTATAAATAGACTATAAAATATTATAGAAAATAACACACTCAACAGAGGATAAACTAGATGATTGGGACCTTGTAAAAATTAAATCCTGTTGTGCATGAAAAGATTTCTCCAAGAAACAGCACAACAATCCCAAAGGCACATGGTTTGAATCCACCAGCTGCTCTGCAGGAGAAGGATGGGCTGTCTCCTCTCAAGTGATTAACTGTTTCTGAAAACCCACCCAGAGTGTCTGCTATGGGTCAGTTCCATCTTGACAATACATAAAGACAATACATACTGGTAAAAAAAAAAAGATTCAACAATGGCATAACTGACCATGGACTAATCTCTAAAATTTATCGAAAACTCCAATAACTGAATAATAAAAGACAAATAATCAATTACACAATTTGCAGAGGACATGAACATGTAAGTGAAAGAAGACACTCAGCTTGTCACAAGACACTTTTAGAAATGTTCTCAAGATCATTAACTAGTAGAGAGATGAAAATCAAAACAATGGGATATTATCTCTTCCCAGTAACAATAGTGAAGTTCAATAAGACAGCAAACTATAAATATTTGTGAAGGTATAGAGAGAGTAGAACTCTCAAACACTGCTAAATGGGAATGTAAAATGGTACTACCACAGTGGAAAGTAGGTTGATACTTTTTTAAGAAGGTGGGACTAGAAATACAATTTGACCCAGCACTCCCACAACTAGGTATATATCTGAAAGAAATCACAGGTGCCCTGTGAACAGCTTTGTGGACACCCATATCCACTGCAGTATTCTTTACAACAGCAAAGAAGTGGAAACAATTCAAGCATCCATTAACAGACCAAAGCCATAAGGACTGTGGTGCATTCACACAGTGAAGTCCTTTGCAACACTTAAAGGCAATGAAGAATTCACAGAAGAGTGCCTAACATAGATGTATCTAGAGGACGTTGTTGTTGTGTTGTTGTGGAGTTGGAACCGACCCATAGCTGACTCTCCAGTTGGTTTTAAGAGGCAGTAAATCACATGGGAGGAGATTGCCCATCTTTCTTACATGGAGCAGCTGGTGGGTTCAAATGTGCCTTTGTATTGGCAGTACAATTCCGTACCACTACACCACCAGAGCTCCCTAGAGGACAGTAGGCTAAGCAAAATAAGTCAGTCACAAAAGGATGGTATAAGAACACTATTATAAAAAGCTAAGGTAAGGTTTACAAACAGAATCAGTCTTGGATGGTTACCAGGGATAGAATGGGAAGGAGAGGGAAGTAAAAATTAATAAACAGATAAGTTGAGTGCAGGGAAAAATAATATACAATAAGGAGTTGATCAGACATTGTCATTAGTTAATAACATTAACCAATTGTAAAGAATATTATGGGTACTCTTATGGTCTAGTGGGTAAAGAGCTGAGCTTCCAATCCAAAGGAAGGCAGTTCAAATCCACCAGTTGCTCTGAGGGAGAAAGATCCTCTCATGTGACTTACAGTCTCTGAAAACCTGCTGAAAATCAGCTATAAGCCAGTTCCAACTCAATGACACTTAACAACAATAACAAAAACTAATTTTATAACACAAAATATCTATGATCTAATGGAATTGTAATAACAATGTTATAAAGTGTGTGATGATAGAATAAAAGCTTGTAAACTTTCATTCAAATATCAAAATAATGTGAATATTTAAAAAAGGACCAGCATTGTTTTAGCTCTGTATTGTATTGTTACCTATAAACTATGTAAAACTAACTCTAGGGATGTTTTATTTTAAAAGATGTATTTATATGCCCAAACAAAATATAAACGATTGAGAAAGTGTGGTATATTTACACAATGGAATACTATACAGCACTCAGAAGCAATAATCTTGAAAATTACTACATAACGGGAGAGACTGGAGAGCATGATGGTGAAAAAGTTAACTCAGTCTCATAAAGACAAATACCACATAAGACCATTATAGTAAAAATAGAAGGATAACTAGTAAGATGTGTATAGGGTTTTACTGAAGAATGAGTGAGAGCAGAAGGGTGAGAATGGGCAGGGAGGAAATGACAGAGTTGCACAATTTGGTGGATAGAGGGAGAGGGTAAAGGAAATAGGGAAGATCCAGCGGAGACCTGAAAAGACAGGGTAATGATGGGCATAGTCCAGTGGTGGTTAATTTTCTATACACAATGTATGAGAATGATTGTATGAAACATAATGTCAATCAAGGAAAGCATGGGGGGAGAAATCTGCATAATAAAACAAACAAACAAAGGAATTTCTTTTTAAATCACAGATTTAAAGGTCTTAAACACTAATGACTGAAGATCAGAGGAGTGGTAGAATGACATTAAAGGCATTATCCATGAATAAAGCATTTTCCAGTTACTAAAAAAATAATAATAATTGTGCTGAAACACTTAAAAAAATAAAATGAAAAGCCATAGTGGCATCAAGCATAACCTACTAGGCTGGCAACTTAGTAGGTCTGTGGGGGTGCACCTCTCTGGAGGCTCAAATCTACCAGCAATTCCATCAGAGAAAGATGGCAATCTTCTATATGATTTACAGCCTCAGAAACCCAATGGAAGGTTGGCTCTGAGTTGGTTCTGATTTCAGCTTTTTGAACTAAAAGTTTGACAGTTGGAATCCACCAGTTGCTCTTCAGGAGAAAAATGAACAGTCTCCTCCTGAAATTATTTATCACCTTGGAAACCTGACAGAGGAGAACTATGATTTAGGATCAACTTAATGGCAGTAGTTTTTGTTTTCTGGTTGTATTATTACCAATAATTCACTTTTCATATTGAAACACTATTATAGATTTGGCCACCCTTTCTAAATGGTTCCTCTACTCCCTTGCTGAAATGTACAGTTCATCTGTCTGAAAGATGATCACCTTCAGCAAAAGGAAAGATGCCCACAGAGTATTTGGAGATGGGAAGGGCACTGGCATTTTGTGGGTGAGGTGGCCAGTGAAACAAATATCTTGCAATGCTGAGGACTGACCCACATGAGAAGGACTGCTCTCACCTAAAAGACAAGGAATGTATCCCCTGGGAAAGAGCACTGCTTGGGAAATATTTGTATTTGAGTACTCCAAAACAAAATCAGTCTAATAAACTAAACAAAGAGATAAAGCAATCCTCAGTTACAAAGCCAAAATTACCTCCTGAGGGCTTCTGGTGGCTCTACCAGGATGAGAACCTGAGTGGCTGAGGCCCAGGTGTCATCCAGGGCCCGACGCATCTCCTGCAGCTGGTCCAAGGGTAGCGTGCCCAGTCCCCCAACTGACCAGCCTACCAGCTGCTCTTGTTCATCTATCTCCTTCCTCAGTTGTTCGTCTTTTGCTTCCAGCACAGCCATTCTTGCTTGGAGAGCTTCCATTTCTTGCTGTGGAGTAAGAAGAGATTCCATATTAACCTGCTAGTGGCATATTGCTCTACTACTGACACACGTTTAAATTTGAGGTGGTCATAAGTTCCAGAAAGAAAAAAACAAAATAGATGTCAGAAAAGACCCTTAAAAATTGCTCTAGAGCATCAAGCCAAAACAAAGGGAAAACTTGCTAATGTAAAAGAACTGAATGGAAGATTTCAAAGAGCAGCTTGAGAAGACAAAGCAAAGTATTATAATGGAATGTGCAGAGAGCTGGAATTGGAGAATAAAAAGGGAAGAACTTGCTCTGCATTTCTCAAGCTGACAGAATTGAAAAAGTTAGGCCTTGAGTCATAATATTGAAAGATGCTATGAGTAATAAATTGAATGACCAAGAAAGCATCAAAGGAAGATGGAGGGAACACACAGAATCACTGTATCAAAAAGAACTGACTGTAACTTAATTCTTTTTTTTTTAAATTTAAATTTGTTATTAATTTCAGTGAAAATTTACAGAGGCTTTGGATTTCCATTCAGTCATTGTTGTAGATTTGTCCCCTCCCAAGGCTCCCCCCCACCAGACATTACCCTTTTGGAAAAGTAAAAGATTCTTTCATTATTTTACAAACCCACCCCCAGGTCCACTCCACCATGTAGCCATCGCTCTAGACTCCTGTCATGACCGAAATACCTAATCACATGTCTCTTTTAAACAGTATTCTCTCTTCTCTGTTTCAGAGCAGCATACATTATTGAACCCATCTTACTCAGTCTCTCCCCAACCCCAAGGACAGTCCCATTCTACAACAGTGGCACCATGCAATATTTGTCCCTTTGTGACTGGGACATTTCACTCAGCATAATGTTCTCCAGAGTCAACCATTTTGAGTAATATTGCATGAGTTCCTTGTTTTTTAATGCAGCATAGTATTCCATTGTGCGAATATACCACAGCTTCTCTAGCCATTCGTTTGTTGATGGGCACTTAGGTTGTTTCCAACTCCTTGCTATTGTGAACAAAGCTGCAATAAACATGGGTGTGCATATATCTGCTTGGGTGTCAGTTATGGTCTCTTTTGGGTATATTCCCAGTAATGGAACTACCTTACCTCTGTAACTTGATTTGTGCCACTATTAGAACCTCTACTCAGAATATTATTGCTTTTCAATTTTTGACTCATGCACTTTTAACTTGTTAGTTAAATTTGTATCTTCTAGGCTGCAACACTTCCATGATACATCTTCGAGGATATGAACATGTACGGCTAAGCACAACTGATAACAGTGCATCTAAATTCCAAAATCAATCTCCATAATAGTCTATGTGTTTCCTACTGCCAAAGGGGCCCTTTAGAGTAGTGAGAGAAGATCTTCACCCTGAAACCCACAGCGTCCCTTTTCAGCAGGAAGTAGCTAAGAGAATACGCCATCCCCTTTTCCTTATGAATCAGGGTGAAGTCTCTCTCAGGGAGGAGTGATAGGGAATGGCAAGGGACACACTGACAAAAGAAATTAATCAGAACTGACTTTGACAAGCACTGTGGCAATTGGACAATTAAAACAGACATTGGTGGGGGGAAGAAGAACAAACTGGGGATGAGGGTGGAGAAAACAGTGCAACAATGAATGAATGAAAACCCAAAATCTCTGTAAATGTTCATTAAAACTAATAAAATTTAATTTAAAAAAGAAAAAGGACTGACACTGAAAAATTTCAGGAAGTATCATCTGAGCAGGAGCCAATGGTAATGAAGGAGGAAGTGGAAACTGCTTTGAAGGCACTGGCAAAAATAAGGCCCCAGGAATCTATAGGATACCAATTGACTTGTTTCAATTAACAAATGCAGCCCTGGATGTGCTCACCAGTCTATGACACAAAATTTGGAGGACAGCTACTTGGCCAATGGAAAGAAAGGGGTCCATATTGTTCCCATTCCCAAGAAAGGAGGTTCAATAGAATGTGGAAACTATCAAACAATATCATTAATCTCATATGGAAGAAAAAGAACCCTGAAGATCATTCAAAAATGGCTAGACTAGTACATAGACAAGGAACTGCCAGAAGTTCAAGCAGGATTTAGAAGAGTCCATGGCACCAAGGATATCATTGCTGACATCAGATGGATTCTCACTGAAAGTAAAAAACACCAGGAGAATGTCTATTTGTGCTTTACTGACTATGCAAAGGCATCTGACTGTGTGGATTACAACAAGCTATAGTTAATACTGAAAAGAATGGGAATCCTAAAACACTTAATTGTGCTCATGTGAAACCTATACTTAGACCAGGAGGCTGTTGTGCAAATAGAGCAAGGAAACACTACATGGTTTAAAATTAAGAAGGGAGTACATTTGGGTTGTGTTCTCTATCCATACTTATTCAATCTGTATGCTAAGCAAATAAATTATTCAAGAACTTAAAGACTCTATGAAGAGCAATGTGGTTTCAGGATCAGAGGGAGACTCATCAATAACCTGTGTTAGGCAGATGACACAAGCTTGCTTGGTGAAAGTGAGGAGGACTTGAAGCACTTGTTGCAGAAGATCAAATAATAAAGTCTTCAATAGGGATTGCATCTAAATGTCAAGAATACAAATATTCTTATCCCCGGACATCACGATAGATGGAGAAAAGATTGAAACAACTTCATCTTATTTGGATCTACAATTAACACCCTTGGTACCAGCAGTCAGGAAATAAGAGACACATTGCACTGGAAAGTCTGCAGTTAAGAACCTCTCCAAATTATTGAGGGATAATAATGTCAGTTTAAGGACTAAGTTGTGCCTGATTCAGACCATGGTTTCTCCAATCACTTGCTATGCGTCTGAGAGTTGGATAATGAATAGGATCACAGAAAAAAATTGATACCTTTGAGTTGTGTTGTTGTAGAAGAGCACTAAACGTCCTACAGATGGCCAAAAGAATAAAATAAATATGTCTTTGGAGAAGGTGCACCCAGAGTACTCTGGAAGCAAAATGATGAGGCGTTGCCTCATATCCTACTGGCATGTTGCTAGAAGAGTCTATTCCTTGGCGTGGGACATGATGCTCATGAAGGTGGAGGGTCAGCAAAGGAGAGGAAGACCCTTGACCAGGTAGACTGACATGGTGACTGCCACAAAGACTCTAATGTGTCAGGAGGTGTGAAGATGGCACAGAACAGGACAGGGTTCAGATCTGTTGTTCATAGAGTCACTACGGGTCATACTCGACGGCATCTAACAACCACATGGGTTCCAGAGATGGAGGCTCCTGTCTGAGGCAGGCAGAGTTTGATTTGGGGTTTTTGGGGATTGGGGTGTTGTAGTTTTTTTCTTGCTTTTTTTATATATACTAGTTTATTTACACAGTTTGAATATATTGTTTTCCAGACTAGATTCTTCCAATTTCCCTCACCCTCCCACCCATCAAATTATATAACCTCATGATTAAACCTCCCTTCCCCCTGCACATCCTCATCCCTCTGCTTCTACTCTCTGCCAACCCTTTGGATCCTTATACTCATTCAACAATAATGGTTTTATATAATATTTGTCCTTGTGGGACTGAGTTAATTCACTCAGTATACTGCTCTCCAGACTTTCTCAAGGTAAGTAATAATTTACAAAATCATTACTCCTGCATGCTGCATAGTATTCCATTGTGTAAATTTAGGCAGGCAGAGTTTTAAAGGTTTCCTGAACTATGAAAACCATGTCAACTTTATAGTTCTCATCAGCTGAAACAAGGTAAATATATTTCCTCACAATCACTGCCTCCTGAACAAACAAACAAAAGCCACAGGACAACTGCATGTAAAGATACCAGCTAAGAAGGGACACTTACCACAAGACCCCAAGGAAAAAGGCAAAGAATCCCTGTTGGTCTGTCCCCAAATCTGAGGCTTTATTGTGCAGGGAAAGTAAGTAATCATGGTTTCTTAGGTTTGCAATAAGAAGAACACAATGTTCCAGCTGGTGACATAGTAAAAAATACTATACAAATGTCATTTCCATTAGTACAACAGGGATCCAAATAGTGCCATTCCATCTCAGGCCAATAAATAAAGCAGGCAGCAGGTAACTGACGACTGTGTACACACATTCCCTGTAGTACATGACTACATGCTTCCAAATGACAATCAGCTCTTTAAGTCAGCACACTCAAAAGGCCCATGGTGTGGCTTCAGAAGGGTATAAACACAGCGCTAACCTGGATGTCTCCTCGTCTCGTACCACAGGGCACAGATACTCTACAAATTCGACCTGCTACACCCACCTCTAGTAAGCTAGACAAATAAATCCTAAATGGAATAATGCCTTGGGGTTCCCATTAGTCCAAGATTACTGCATTACCGTCAGAGTAATTATCTTCCCACCTCCAACTCCCTATGCACTGTTCTCACCACAAGAGCCTCTGTGTGGCAGAAACTACCATGTGCTCAGCTCCTGGTCACAAGGTAGGTGAAGGCACAGCTTTTCGTCCACCCGTCCCTGCCCTCGTCCTTAGTGGAGATGCCTCAGAAGACAGGATTGGAGGTCTGTTTCAGAAATGTCACAGCTCCCAAAGCCCCCTTCTACTTCCCACATGCAGGGTCATCCTAACTCAGAACAGATTCAACAGCTCTGAGTAGCCACCCATGCGATTCTCTGAAATGAGGTCAGATCATGTCACTTCACTGTGTCCAAGCCTGCAGTGGGCTTCCCATTTCAACTGGCCTCCAGGCCCTACAGCCCCCTCCATCCCAACTTCACTGGGTACCACTCTCCCCTCACTCGCCTTCCCTGAGACTCCTGGGCTCAGAGCTGCCCAGCATACACAGGGCACCCTCACCTAACCAGCCTTTACCGTGCTAGACTCTGCCTGTAGAACTCTCTGAAGATTTCTGCCAGGTCTCTTCCCTCTTCTTCTCCCAACAGCAGCTCTGTTCCCACTTCTCAGCCAGTTGGTACCGTCACTGACACCCTGGTCTGCTCGCTGAGCTCTTATCACCTGGTGACAGCTGCAAAGAGTCATTCTCGACCCCTGGCATTCCTGTGTGCAGCATAGAAAAGCTCCCTAGACGTTTTTAACACATTGCCACACACTTTTTAAATTGACGACCGTGCTTAGAAACATATTTGCCGTCATTTGCAGCAACGTGTTAAGAAACTCTAACTATAAAATAAGCCTTGGTAGCTCCCTCTGGTCCAAGATTACTGTACTATTGCCAGAGTCTCCCACCCAATCTGCCTGCTCCGACCTCCAACCCCCTGTGCACTGTGCTCACCAGGGCGCTGCAACTGGAGGTCCAGAGGTCCTGGAAGCGGCTCAACAGGCCTGTCTTCCCAAGCACTCCTGGGGAGGCTTGAACTGACAAACTTCCTCAAGCAGTCTAGCACTTGACCATCTGCACCACCAAGGACCTACTTCAAAGCCTGCAAGGTCCTGTGTACACACTGAGCCATGTACTAAGTCATGAAGAACTCTGTCGGCTCTCTGAGCTCCTCACTGCCTGCTGACTTTAGCACAGGAGCCTTAAGGTCTAGGCCCTGGGTGACTCTTGCCACTCTCATCCATTGTCCGGGGGCCCACACTGGACACTCATTGACTGTCGCTGGACATTCACAGGTGTGCCTGCCTGGCCAAGTCTGCACTCACTGCTTTGTCTCCTTATACGCTCACTACCCAGCATGGCAGTACTTTATTTCCTTAAACGACAGCAGCACACATCCCTTTCTGCCTTCCAAAAGAATGTTGTAAAGGTCAAAATGACAAGAGGTGACAAATTGGCCCGGCAGACAAGCAGGGCATGTTCAGAAGGTAACGAGGGCATCAGAAACTCATTATGGAGCAGCCACTGCTGAGCTTTCAGGCGCTCCTTTGTAATGAGGCTGTACAGCCCTCCAGTCACCCTCACCCCTCCATCTTGGTTTATACCTTACAAGGTGACAGCTAAGTCTCTAATTGCTACACTTAAGAAATCCAAGACCCACTTTGTCACATGAGAAAAATATTGCCCTAAGTTACTGAAGATTCTTCGTCAGCATACCTGAAGTCTCCATTTTTCCTGAATAAGCCGTTCTCGCCTGGTAACGGTCACACGGAGTCCATCCTGAGCAGGAGGTCCCAACGGTTTGGACTCTATTCTGAGCATGGGTTGGGTTTCTTCACTAACGGCCCTGAAAATAAAACACCACAAATGTGAAATCCTCAGGTCTACAGTATGTTTGAGGGTAGAAGAAATCTCCCCAAATGGCCTCTGGCTGTTCTCTTCATCTGGAGGATTGTAGGGAAGAGGTATCTATGGAACGTAGATTACCATTTTCATTTAAGCATGTTGAGGTTTGGTTTGGATGTTTCCTCCTTTCCTCATAGCCTAATTTCCATTATACCTTGGACTCTGATGACCAAAATGATAGTCACTAACCACACAGAGGCAGAACTCAAGAGATCAAATGACATATTCCATTGTCAAATCTACCACAAAGGATCTCTCTAAAGTATCAAAGAGCAAAGATGTCCCTTTGAGGTACAATGTGCCTGACCTAAGTAAGCCAGGATATCTTCAGCCACCCGCAATCCTGCAAAAGCTGGGCAACTGAACAAGGAAGAACAAAAAACTGAGGCCTTTGAATTACAGTGTTGGTGAAGATACAGAATATACCGCAGACTATCAGAAGAACAAACAAATCTGTCTTGGAAAAAAGATAATGAGATTTTGTCTCACAATTTGGACATGTCATCAGAAAGGGCCAGGCTCTGGAGAAAGACATCATGCTTCAAAGAGCAGAAGATCAATGAGAAAGAGGAAGACTCTCAATGAGATGTGCTGGCACGATGGCTACAATAGACTCAAATAGGGCTTCAGTTGTGAGGATGGTGCAGGCCTGGGGGATGTTTTATTCTGTTGAGGACAGCCCAGACTGGGTGACATTGTATATGGTTGTTCAGCTGTGAGGATGGTGTGGGGCTGGGTGATGTTGTCTATGTCTGTTTAGTTGTGAGGACTGTGAGGGACTAGGCGACACTGTATACAGTTGTTCAGCTGTGAGGACAGTGCAGGACTGGGCAATGTTGTATTTGGTTGTTCAGTTGAGAACATGGTGCAGGACTGGGCGATGTTGTATATGTCTGTTCAGTTATAAGAATGATGCAGGACCAGGTGATGTTGCATATGGTTGTTCAGCTGTGAGGATGGTATGAGACCGGGCAATACTGTACACATCTGTTCAGTTGTGAGGATGGTGACATATACCATTATTCATTATGAGGACGGTGCAAGAGAGGGTGATGCCTCGTTCTGTCGTATACTCCGTCACTACAGAGCTAACAGGAAGGCACCTTCCCACAACAACTTAACAACCAAGCACACCTACTGAGCCCTTGAAAGGTTGTTCTTCCAAGTTAAAATGTGCTAACAGTGTAAAGCACACACCATATTTTAAAACTTAGGGTTAAAAAAATCTTAAATAGTTCCTTAACATTTGTTGATTGTACTTTTAAATTAAAGAGTTTTGGATATGCAAGTATGTGTTGCTTAATCCACAATATAGTGTCTGAAATGGAATGTGATTTGAACATTGTATGAACACCGCATTAGAACCTGTGGGGGCCTGTTTCAGGTCTTTCTCGTAGCCACTACTGCCCATGGAGATGTTGGGGGGAGGGGGAGAGCTAGGGGAGCATGGTTGTGGCTGAGTGGACTAAGTGGTAGGTCAGAGGGAGAGGCAGCAAGCTGGGGAGAACAGGACACACCTGGGCCCACCTGTGGGTCCACCCAGCAGCTGGAGGAGTCTGGTCCTGAAGCTCTGACACCACCTCCAGACACTGTGCTCAGAGCCACGGCCTCTGTCTCCCTGGTCTGCGTCATCCCTGAGACCCAGCGCTGCAAAAGCCAGGGCATGGGGTCTTTAAAACCATTCACAGAACAACTCCTCACCATTGAGTCAGAATCGACTCACAGCAGCCCCTCCAGGGGTTTTCAGAGGTGGTGAAGCACACAGGCGAGGACAGCTCCTCCTTCTCCCATGAAGCAGGTGGTGGGTTCAAACTGTCTACCTTTAGGTTATCAGCACTGCTTTTTCCTTGAAAGGAAAAAAGTCCTATAGTACCACACCCATATATGTTGTAGGACACTGCCCTCTGAGACATCAAACAATGAATACCTGTATTTGGTTAAATGAAAATTAGTATTTCCCTTTCCTCTCTCACTGTAGCCCCTAGGTGACTCTGAGGGATGGTGGTCTGGAGAAGAGCACTCTCTTTCCAATCAGGGGACCCGTGTTTGGTTTCTAGTCAATGAATCCCAAGCACGTGCACCACTTTTGGGTCACCAGAAGCTCGCCTGCTAGCTCGACACTCAACAGGCTTCCATGAAACCTCCAAATTAGTCTAGGCTAAGCATTAAGGCTTGTCTACTTGTGAAAATGTAAAGATCAAAATGGTTCACTGTGTGTGGTGCCATGAGCGTGGGGCTGACTTGGTAACAGCCAACAAAAAAAAAAATACTAGATAATTTACAATTACACATGGAGCTCATATTGTCTTTCGTTGCCAACATGGCTTTGGACATCCACTGAGCCATGTCCCAGGACTACCCTTGGTGTGGAGGCTGAAAGAAGTGACTTAGAAGTCCTTGGGTGAAAGCTTCTCAACCAAGGTCTGGCAAAAGGCTGAAAAATCTATCAGGCTCTTTCTCTTATTCTTGCAAGAACTGACATATTTGATTAAAGTGATACTCACAAAAATGCAGACACAACTTACTTATTTTAAATTGCTTTTACAATAGCTATGCAGAGATTCATAGTCAAAGTACAATCAATTCCGCTTAGAATGTTTGATTCCTAACACAGTTCAGTATGACAGAGTTATATTTAACCCAATTAAAGCAATGCCCAGAATTCCAGGAAGCCAAGTCTAAGAAAACAATAACAAAATGTAAAATAAATCAAATAAAGGAGGAAACAGTGCATCATCACGAGTCAGATAATATTGATTATTTTGAAATTATTCTCTCAGATCAATATGAAAGACAGGTATGCAAGCAGAAATTTCAAAAAAAATATTTTTAAAGCTATCATCAAAGCTATCATCTTGGTACCAGC